TGCTCTTACTTACTCTCATACCCCTTTCCTCTTTCCCTTCATTCCTGCGTTTAGACCCACCACTTTGCAGCTATGTACTGGCAGGACTTGTTGGAGAACTCAAATCGCCAAACTATCCGCAATTCTACACGAATACTCAGAATTGCTCGTGGAAGATTGAAACACCGACCACATTAAGTCAGTTGATATTCAAAGACTTTGAGGTGAGCTAGTGTGTCCAATCGATCTGTTCATACTTTTATTGTTAACATATTTCGCAGTTTGCACCATTGTGAATTCGTTACAGACATCAGTGAAGTAGCTCAGGTAATAACGAAAATTCATACATGACAACTAACTCATATGCATTAGCCTTCACAGTAAGCGCGTTAGTAATCCGCGGGATTCTGCAACACTGCGGTCGGCCAATCGTTTTACGTTCTTTTAACGGATATCGCCTCCTTCGTGTTGTGTTCGGTCGGTTTGATCGAGAAATATTCATGTGGATGGACTGTCCCCAAGGTTGGGATTGTGCGGACCATTGAATCGTCAATCAAAAACCAGCATTCAGAAAGAGTTCTTATTTACATGAACGGCGGAATGAAGCCAAGTTTGCATTTTTCGCAAAGTCATCCAAATAAGTAACGAACGGTGATGTATGAAGATCACGATGTAGGAATGTATTCAATTCAATTGAAGCATTAATGAACAGGGTTTCAATGACATCGTAGTGGTGATACAACAAACTATCGTGATGGACGTTTGCGAAAACAGAGTAGTCTTCGCAGTTACCACGGTGCTCGGTCGTTAGTGATGGCCCGTGGTGTTATCCTTACTGAATTACGGGATGATGACGGTGTGTACGCTTCACGTCACTTAATTCTTTGTGACAGGTCGGACAGCCCGGGTTTGGACAACAGTGCCCATCTGATTTCGTCGTTATCCAAGTCGGTACAGGTTTGTATTCGCAGATACATGGACCATTCTGTGGTGCTGAAACGCCTGCTCCAGTATCCTTTCAGGATGTAGTTTTCGTGAATTTGATAATAAAAAGCACTGGACATCATCGTGGATTCTGGGCTACTTACGGACCGGGTGAGTGAGTTTTGCTCAATCTGGCAAATGTCAGTTACCCTGATTCAGCCATTTTTCTGTCCTGACGTTTTGTTAGTCTGTTCAACAGGATACCGGCGTCCCGAGTATGAATATTTGTTCGAACATCTTATTTACCGTATGCCGCCATATATCCATCACAAATCTCTGAAGCCAGGTATGTTCAGTCCGGGGCGGGAAACCCTTCTCCAACCAATGTACGGACACATATTTTCACAAAATGAACGGAGTTTTCCAGTAATGACTCCTGTAAAACTCCGTGGAATTATTTAGTCACACCTGAGGATGAACTCGTTTAGACCGTGCATCCTTTCTTCGCAACATTATTCAAATCCCGCAGAGTTGTTCTCCAGATTTCAGCTCGGCCAAAGTTTAAGACGACCAGAATAACTGTTGCTCCATTTGATTTGTCTGGTTTTTGTTAAGTTGGGAGTCATGGCTGCCAGTATTTGTCTGACCAAAGCTGACACGGGTCCCGTCGAGGAACGATCGCCCCACTGTGTTAACGAGACTGGTGCGGTATCGATGGCGATCTAGATGCAGTCACCGATAATTCGAATTTGAATGGCTTGACTGCAGCAAATCTGTCGGTTAGGTCATTCGAGTTCGTGTAGTAAATAAGCACGATCACAGCAAGTCTTTTAGTAACTGGATCGGCTAAAAATAAGGCGGGAGTTCGCGTTTCGGGACTGTGTGGTGATTCGCACAACCGATCACATCGATGCATTTTTTGACGGTTATGATCTACTGTGCTACAAATCCACTAAGACGTTCCAGGCGGGTTTCATAACCGATTTCTTGAGGTGGAAATAATTTTGGAGGACCAAGTGACAAAATGAAAGGACGCGCAGTATGACAGGAAAGGAAATTTATGATGTACCAGTTAGGGGATGTGTTTGGCTCACGTGATTCGAATGACGTGTACTACATCGCCCTCTTCTGACGTTAAAGTATGTCTCCAGAAAATGCAATCAGCCACTGTATCTGTATCGGTTTTTAAAGGCAATAAAATTATGAAGCTTTCATTCATTTGCCATTTTAGCGGATCAAACACCGTTTCCCGGTTTCCCGGGTTCAAGTAAGTTGGTTGTATTTCAGGTCGGGTGAGGATTTCGAATATTTTGAGAGTTTATGTAGGTTTCAATACCTAAGCCAAGAAGCACTCCTATGATGAATAACGACGGTCACTCTGCATAGAAAGACATTTGTTTTCACTTCACAAAACTACCTTTACTGATATACAACGGATTTGCTGAATGTAGTACACGATGAAAAATAACACGGCAGGATTTCAACAGAATATGGTGCGCAAATGATTGTGAACGACGCTCCGAGCGAATCTTCCCAGTTTTCTTCACATCTGTAGCATCGATTGAGTGCACGTCCTCTTTTGCATAATGAACTTTAGGTGTGGCGTTTTGTTTGGCCTAATAGCACTCAGGATGGCCACTGGGCTTTTCCTGAACACACACATATATATACGTATATACATGTATACATATATACATATGTATATATACATGCATGTTTAGTGATAGATGTTGATCAGGTGGCTTTGTGAAACGGTAGTCATGGATATTAACCTCTGGTACTGTTTTATAGTCACCAACCCACAATACTGAATGCTACGTATACAATGATGACATATATCGGTGGTATGGTGGCATTCGTTGTGATTAACCTTAGATAAGAGAGCTAAGAGTCAGATGACGGGGTAAGTGCGCAATATTTTGTGGAATTTAGCATGACGCAAGTTCACTGCTCAATGTGTTTGCTAGTGTGAGATAAGGAATAGGAAATTCATTTACAAGAACACATCACGCTATCCAGTGAATGACTGACCACACAGCAGCAGATGCTTATGGATAGACCAGTGCAGAAATACGGCACCTATGTGAAAGTCGTTCGTTATTATTAGACAAGATAGATAGGAGGTTTGCAGTGCAGCCTAACTTCATTCATCCACGGCTGACTGATTTCTACCAATATGGGATGTTGCAGTCACAATCGTGTTGTCACGGTTAGCCTGGACCGCGCGAGTTCATACTAACCACGGTGAGTACTGCAACATAGTCCAGAACGCGTAATCACAAACCAGTGGTCGGATAACAACACAAGATCTGTTGGTATTGTGCGGAGATTTCGGAAAGATCAATGAAGACTTTGTTCTGTTGAAGAACAAAATGTATCCTGAAAAACTGAGAAACCGTTTGCGGCTGTTTCACCATTATTGGGAATCAGCAGTAGTGCGTATCTCATGAGAACTGAGCGAGTCGCGAATCAGCAACTTCCCGGTTTGTGTACCAAACTTTTAAGCATTTATCCAAAAGGGACTGATCGGCAGTGTTATTAGCTCGCACGTAGACAGAATATGGTGCTAGTGATCCTTGGAGCACTGAATCCACGTCATGTGGTCCCGCTTCTCCCGACGCCCCGAGTGTCGATATCTCAGTGACAAATTATGGGCTTTCCAGCATGGACTGGGGCCAAGTCACCAGTGTAAAGTAAAAAACCTGTAGCACTAAAACTAGAAATTATGATACACGAGTCCATCAGAACCGGCTTAGTTCGCCTGTGGATATTGTCTCGCATAATAATGCAATGATTCTCTATCCTGGATTTGTGGACATGGAAACACAAATTGGGATTTCGATAATCAAAACCGGCCACCAGTATATACGCATTACAAAAGGGTGCAGGCAGCCGATTGAGATACAGGGAGAGCACATATTTGACGGATATTCCCGGACTTTACCAATATTACCAATATTTACCAATATTACAATGGGTTACATTCGAATTGACAGGATATTAGGTTCAATCGATTAAACGTGGATGAACTTTTGAGACAGAAGCTATCACACGTAGACTCTCCATTAGTTTGTATTAGGGCATCCGACCAGAGCCTTTGAAAGCCAAAATTATTTATCGTAGCAATAGACTGGTTCAAAACTAATGTAAATCATCTGATTTAACTAAGCGACTGACTAACTAAATAATTATTAACTAACTAACTAACTAACTAACTAACTAACTAACTAACTAACTAACTAACTAACTAACTAACTAACTAACTAACTAACTAACTAACTAACTAACTAACTAACTAACTAACTAACTAACTAACTAACTAACTAACTAACTAACTAACTAACTAACTAACTAACTAACTAACTAACTAACTAACTAACTAACTAACTAACTAACTAACTAACTAACTAACTAACTAACTAACTAACTAACTAACTAACTAACTAACTAACTAACTAACTAACTAACTAACTAACTAACTAACTAACTAACTAACTAACTAACTAACTAACTAACTAACTAACTAACTAACTAACTAACTAACTAACTAACTAATTATCTAACTTACTTATATTACCATTTCTTTTTTAAGAGCATGGTCACAAACATGAAAAGTGAATGCAAGCGATGAATGCGAAATAGTAACGGGAGAATGTGGGAAAAAAGAGAGAAACGTTTCATTGCAAATCATGCCAATAGCAGTTCCAGTCTGATAGGATGAATCCCAAAGTATGTAAAAATTTCGATCTGGAAACACGCATCTAAAGACCAACAACCGAAGAAAGGACAAACAATTTTGTATGCTCTTCAAGGCGCGGTAGGCGCTAGCACAGTCAAGACTCGCACATCAGGCACAAAGTGTCCGTCATACTGGGTCTGGTGTGAGACTAAATGGCAAAATGTACATTCGACGCCATGTGCCACACATAAGTGTCATACGTACGCAGCGAGCCAACAATGGCAAGCAAACACAAGTCAATGACCGCAAACTTAGGAAGTCCCAGGCGAAAAATAGCCTTAGCGGATTGAGGAAAGCAGATCCCGTTGTTCTCCCAGACTGGTTATTCTTGGGTAGAATCTATTCAGGAACTGAGAAATTAGATAGAAGTTGACGTGCTCTTCTTTCATTGGAATGCAATATACAACTGTCTGTGAACACTCATGGAACAATTCATCAAAACTATTAAAAGACGCTTCAGACAGCCTGCGCTGCCGAGAAGCTGAAATTCTAGAGATCATGTGTTCCGGTTGCAGCCGTGGCCGTAGTAGTGGATGGCACCAGGGACATTGAAATAAACGAAGGGTCATCGAGGCATGCCGAGAGTGACCGTAGATAGTGAACATGTTTTCGGATGATGGAATGTGTGTCAATTCTGATTAGCGAATTTGATGTTACCCACGTCCATGCAAACATATATTTGGTCAGTGTTCAAGTTGGTTTTCTGGCGTGGTAATTTGACTATATGCATTCTCATGATCTGCCCTTTGAGGCGAGTTATAAGGCGTGATCACGTGAACTCTCCAATCGAACTTAAGTCTCCATCTTCTTCGTTCGGTTTCCGTGGGCTTTGAACACGACATCGCTTGACAGAAAATCTATCTGAGTAAGGGTAAACTGGACAGTGGGAACCCACATGAAACTCCAGAGAGCTTCGACCCCGCAGCCTCATGGTCAGTAGTGTGAAGACTTAATCTTTCAGCAACTAGCGGCTGATCAGTATGGTGCTTAAGTCGCAGTGAGAGAGGATCTAGTGCCACTGATCCTCCAATTACCGAATTCAAGTCAGGCGTTCAAGTAGTGTGTAGCTCCTTGAAAAACGACTAAATCTCCTTGTGTTGGTAACAATATCAGGATATGTGCAACTTTCATCCGGGAATTCGTTGGTGTGGATCCTGTGATTGAAGGATGAGCGGTGCCGTATTCTGTCTAATTGCGCGGTTATCACACTGCTGGTGTGATAAACGGCCCACGGCCGAACGGTTAAGTGACCAAATTTGTAGCCGTGAGGTCGGAAGTTCGAGACGCCCTAGAATCGAGTGAGATTATTCCCAATAAGGATGTAAAAACGGTACACGGCACTTTGGCTTTTCAGTTTGAACTGACTTCACTTACAGGAATATGTCTCGAGCGGAAATTACTAAATTTATTCTGTTTTCTCCGTACACGCTT